GGCTGGGGAAGGCACGGATGGAAGTAGGGGGACTGGGGGTGGGAGCACAAAGGGTTGCGGGGGGGGTGACGCTTGGGCAGGGTCTGAGAGTGCAGGAGGAGCCCTGGGGACCGGGGAGGCTGGCGGGGTGAGAGGGGCCCTGGTGCTGGGCCCGGTAAGGATCAGGGCCTGGTGGGACTGGGAGTAGAGGCAGCACTGGGAGGGGGCTCTGAATGATGCTGGGGAGAAGCCAGCATGGGTGGGAGGGTCTGGGGGTACCAGCGCTGCAGGGGAGAGCCTTGTGCTGATCCTGTCCCTATCCCACAGGAACTTCATGCGCGATGCCGAAGAGATCGCATGCAGCCGACGCATGAACAGCCTCACGCTGAACCGGCACACAGAGATACTGGAGATCCTGGAGATTCCGCAGCTCATGGACACCTGTGTCCGCAACGGCTACTACGAGGAGGCGCTGGAGCTTGCTGCCTATGTGCACCGGCTGGAGAGGAAGCACAGCAGCATCCCTGTGATCCAGGTAGGCCCCGCTCTGCCACTGCCCCGCCATTACCCTGTGCCTGGCCCCTGTAGCTGAGGCCTCTCTCCTGCCCCAGGGCATCGTGGATGAGGTGCGCCAGTCCACCCAGCTGATGCTGAACCAGCTCATCCAGCAGCTCCGCACCAACATCCAGCTGCCAGCCTGCCTGCGGGTCATCGGCTACCTGCGGCGCATGGATGTCTTCACGGAGGCTGAGCTGCGCATCAAGTTCCTGCAGGCGCGGGATGCCTGGCTGCGCTCCATCCAGGCCTCCATCCCCGATGACGACCCTTACTTCCACATCACCAAAACCATCGAGGCCTGCCGTGTCCACCTCTTTGACATCATCACCCAGTATCGTGCCATCTTCTCTGATGAGGAGCCGCTCCTGCCCCCCGAGGGGCAGGCCCTCAACGAGGGGGCCATCTTCCACGGCTGGGTGCTGCAGAAGGTCTCAGAGTTCCTGCGGACGTTGGAGCGTGATCTCCAGCGTGGGGTGGGCAGCCGCCTGGACTCGCTGCTGGGACAGTGCATGTACTTTGGCCTCTCCTTCAGCAGGGTGGGGGCTGATTTCCGTGGGCAGCTGGCCCCCCTCTTCCAGCGTGTGGCTGCCGCAGCTTTCAAGAAGGCGGTGGAGGAGGCGGTGGAAAAGTTTCGGGAGGAGATGAATTCCTACACTCTCATCTCCGCCCCGGCTGTCCTGGGGGGCAGCGCAGGGGTACCAGTGCCTGCGACACAGCCGGGGACGCTGCAGCCACCCATGGTGCTGCTGGACTTCCCACCACTCGCCTGCTTCCTCAATGGCCTTCTCGTCGCCTTCAATGACCTGCGGCTTTGCTGCCCCATCGCCCTGGCCCAGGATGTCACCACCTGCCTGGAGGACGCGCTTGGCGAGGTGAGGCACCAGGGGACAGAACTGTGCCTTGTCCAGGGACAACACAGGGAGAGGCTTGTCCTGCCCTGAGTATTCATAGGATAGAGTCATAGGATCATTAAGGTTGGAAAAGGCCCTTGAGATCACTGGGTCCAACCATTAACACTGCTAAGTCCACCACTAAACCATGTCCTTAAGCACCACCTCTAGCACTTCAATGTGTTTCTTGTAGGGAGTGGCCCAAAACTGAACAGTATTTGAGGTGGGGCCTCACCAGGGCCAAGTACAGGGAGACAATCACTTCCCTAGTCCTGCTGGCCACACTATTTCTGATAGAAGGCAGGATGCTGTTGGCCTACTTGGCCTCCTGGGAACACTGCTGGCTCGTATTCCTTTTCCACTAGGCAGCTTTCCCGAAACCTGTAGCGTTGCATAGGGTTGTTACCCAAGTGCAGGACCAGGCACTGAGCCTTACTGAACCTCGTACCGTTGGCCTCAGCCACCGATTTTCCTTGTCTCTGCAGTTGAGGGATTGTCTGCGAGGAGAGTTAACGACTTCCCAGGGAACTAACAACTCTTCCTTTCCCTCCAGGTCACCAAAACCATCCTGGCATTTCACCGTGCGGAGGAAGCAGCTTTCAGTGGGCGAGAGCAGGAGCTCTTTGCCCAGTTCTGCACAGCCTTCCTCGAGGACCTGCTACCCTACCTCAACCGCTGCCTCCAGGTCCTCTTTCCCCCGGCACAGATCGCGCAGGCACTGGGTGAGACCCCAAAACTTGCATCTCATGGAGGGGAGAGCAACAGGTCAGGGGAGCAGAGCCTCCGTGGCACCCGTGGCTCCCCCCCCACGAGACATACTGGTTTTGTGTGGCTGTTGGCACCTCTGTGGGGGTTTCCCATTGCCCATGGGCCCCCACACGAGCCCCCTCTCCGGGCAGGTGTCCCCCCAACCCAGCTGCAGCGTTTCGGTCGCCTGGGCCGCATCGACGTGGGTGCCATCAGGGAGCCGCTGGCTTTCCTCCTGCCAGCAGCGGGCGAGGAGGAGCTGGGCCAGGAGAGCACCCTGCACCCAGAGGGGGAAGAGGAGGCCATGCCCGGAGAGAGCGGGACAGCGGGACAGCAGGAGAGTGCTCCTGGGGGGGCTCTGCTGCCGGACATCCCCCCAGCCACGGAGTAGCGGGGCCGTGGCTGGGCCGGGCTGTGTCACCCCGCGACCCCCGTCCCTTGGGAGTGAAGTGGCCCCCGCACCCTGCCTGCACCCCTGCCCGAAGGACCTCCTGCCTG